GGAGGTGCTGGGGCTCCCGGGGTGGGGGTGGGGCAGGGCGAGGAAGATGCCGAGGGACAGATAGGAGGGGAGATGGAGACCCCAGCGCTTTGCACGAGTGCGGGAGCGAGGGTGGTCCCGGGGGTGTAGTGGGGACGGGGACAGATGGGTGCTGGAGTACAGGAGGAAGGGGATAGAGAAGCGGGCGGAGAGGCTCTGCTGGGTATAGCAGGGCGAGGGCTGGAGCATTAAAGACGCCAACTGCACACAGAAAGGAGAGCGAAGTCCTTGGGAGAGGTAGTTTGGGAAAGGGACCCCAGAGGGCTGGGTGCATGTGACAGGGAGGAGGCCCCTGAGGGTACAGAGAGAAGTGAAGGTATCAGTAGCTTGCGTGTAGGGCTGGGGATAGAAGGACCCTTGGGGGCAACGCAGGAGGTAGCAAGGTTCAGGGGCGGTGGAGTACACAGACGGCAGGCTGCTGAGGGTCCTACGGACGTACACACGAAATCCAGATGATGGGCTAGGGAATGAAGCTAGGATGGGAAGACCTTGAGGTGCTGTGGGGTAGAAACAGGATAGAGGAGCCCTGCGTGAAAAGTGGGGAACTGGGTTAGTAGGGTTTTGGAGATGTACCTCAGAAGGAAATGGAGAGGACACACATGTATCCAGAGATGGGGAGGACTTACAAGGTACCTAGTGGGGATGCAGATCTGGGGCGCTCTCAGGGTCAAAGAAGGGTCTGCTGCAGTGGTCCTGCGGAGAGGATGCAACCTGAATTGGGGCTGCCAGAAGAGAAAGCGACCCTTCAGGAGGCCTGAAGGGCCCAGGTTGTGGGATAAAAGAGGCCAAATAGCTGTAAAGAGGGGAAATAGACTTGAGATTGATTGGCTCTTGTGGGAAGTGGTGGGATGATGCCCTCGGGCCTGGTCTGGTGGCTGGGAGGAGGACCCAGGTGGAGAGGCAGGTTGGGGCCAAGATAAGCCAAGCTCAGTTGGAGGTGTCCCGGGAAGAAGCTTGACAGAACCAGAGCAGTCTGGCCTGGAGTCAGTTTCTTTCTTGTAGGGGAGGTAGGTCAGTGGTACAGATTGGGTAGGGACACTTTCCCCAGGAAGTGGCAATTTTGACTTCTCTCCCCTCCACCGCTCCCAGTTGCCGCTCCAGATGCTGCTGCTGCCCCCGCGACCACCCCATCCTCGGTCCTCCTCTCCGGAGGCCATGGACCCACCGCCCCCCAAGGCTCCCCCTTTCCCCAAGACGGAAGGCCCTTCCTCCACTCCTTCCTCGGCGGCGGGGCCCCGACCCCCGCGGCTGGGCCGCCACCTGCTCATCGACGCCAACGGGGTCCCCTACACGTACACGGTGCAGCTGGAGGAGGAGCCCCGGGGCCCGCCCCAGCGCGAGGCACCACCGGGAGAGCCTGGTCCTCGAAAGGGCTACAGCTGCCCGGAGTGCGCCCGCGTCTTTGCCAGCCCCCTGCGGCTGCAGAGCCACCGCGTGTCGCACTCGGACCTCAAGCCTTTCACGTGCGGCGCCTGTGGCAAGGCCTTCAAGCGCTCCAGCCATCTGTCCCGGCACCGCGCCACGCACCGCGCCCGCGCTGGTCCCCCGCACACCTGCCCACTCTGCCCGCGCCGCTTTCAGGATGCCGCGGAGCTGGCGCAGCACGTGCGCCTACACTAAGCTCCGATTGGGCCCGTGCTGCTCTACTCGGCTCTGGGCCTCCGAGTCTGACCCACACGGCGGCACTCCCATACACACGCCCTGGCTCTGCTGAGGTTACTGCCTTACCCTGGGCCTGTCTCCCTATCTGTCCAAAGAGAGAAACGTCATTCGTACCTTCCTTCTTTCCCTCTCTAGCTATCTGTGTGATGTAGACCAAGTCGTTGCCCCTCCCTGGGCCTGCGAGCCAGTCGGAACTGGGTTCTGGCCCAGCTGTGCTGTGTGAGCTTTTGCAAGTGACTTAACCTCTCTGAGCCCTGTTTTTCTGCTCCGAAGTGGTGAACGATTGCCCGTGTGGTAGATTTGACAAGAGCACGGGCACGGTCTGGTCCCATTCTGTATCAACCCCTCTTCCACCCACTACCCTCACCCTTTACTCAATAAACATTCCACACTCCACTTTAGGGTTCTTATTTGCGAATGGCGTCTGGGGGCGGGGGACGGCGGGGTTCGGGGTAGAGAGTGGACCATAAGCACCTGGGAACCTTCATCGTAGTATGTGTTTCTGGCCGGAGCCATTTACCGAAGGCCTAGGTTCCCCGCTCCCCCACCTTCTTTCTCTGGACCCTCCTTTCTGTCTCGGGTTCTCCTCTTACCGGCGCCGCCAACTATTGGGAGACTCCTAAAGACCTCCCTCTGTGCCGCCGCCGCCGCCTGATACCACGGGTGTAGCCCAGAGCCGTTCCGAAGTCGCCCGGATCCGAGAGGCTGCTGCAGGGTACGGGGGCCGGGAGGCGGGCGCGGGCCTCGGAGGGGGCGGAGCTGGGCCAGCGGGAACCTGCGTGCGGGGCGGGGAGGGCGCTTCCTACAACTCGCGTGGAGAGGCTCAGAGGCCCAGCCGCGGGTGGATCACTGGGGAGCGCTAGGACCTAGGCAGAACTGGGGGCAGATGGGCGTGGACTAGAGCCTAGAGGTAGCCTGCTAGGGGAGGGGCAGAGGTGTTCGCACCCGGGGTCCTAACGTGGCAGTCCGTATGAGAAGGCTTGGGTGTGTATGAAGAGGTGGACAGGCTTCTGGATGGAGTGCGTAGGCTCAGGGGCGTAGAGAAGGGAGAGGGGGCCTGGAGGTATATAGGGTGGGGCCCTGCGGCGGGGCCAGGGTAGCGGGTACCCAGTGGCCTGAATAGGGCACAGTCGGGGAGGCAGTGAAGTCCTGGTTGTGTCTAGATGGGCAGAGATCTTGTGCCTACAGTGAGAGGTGGAACAGAGAATAGGAAGAGTTTCCCGAGGGAGACCCTAGGAGCCTTACGGAGGGTCAGAGTCCAGGGCATAAGGACTGGAGGAGGATGGAGGCATCAAAAGTCCTGGGCAGGGTCCACAGAGAGGAAAAATGGAGCTGTGTAACCTCCCCCTCTCTCCCACCCACCAGGCCTCAGCCACCTTCCGGATGCTGGTGCTGCCGGCCCCTTGCCCCCAGGCCCCTGCGCTGCCCTCCGCTGAGGCCATGGAGACCCCTCCCTCTCGGACAGGCCGGTCCTCAGAACCTGGACCTTCCTCCTCCACGGCATCTCCCCAGGCCTCGTCCCCTCCGAGGCCCAACCACTACCTGCTAATTGACACCCAGGGCGTCCCATATACGGTGTTGGTGGACGAAGAGGCTCAGAGGCAGCCTGGGGCCGATGGGGCTTCGTCTCAGAAAAAGTGCTACAGCTGCCCAGTGTGTTCGCGGGTCTTCGAGTACATGTCATACCTCCAGCGACACAGCATCACCCACTCAGAAGTGAAGCCCTTTGAGTGTGACACCTGTGGGAAGGCATTCAAGCGCGCCAGTCACCTGGCACGGCACCACTCCATTCACCGAGCAGGTGGCGGGCGGCCCCATGGCTGCCCGCTCTGTCCTCGCCGCTTCCGGGAGGCGGGGGAGCTGGCCCAGCACAGCCGGGTCCACTCAGGGGAGCGTCCGTTTCAGTGTCCGCACTGCCCACGACGATTTATGGAGCAGAACACGCTGCAGAAGCACATTCGCTGGAAGCATCCGTGAGCCGGCCTGTGGGTACCTCAGGCACCACGGGATCTAGGGAGCCTGGACTCCTGTCATCCTGAGACATCACAAGAGCACTGTGGCTGGGTTACTGGGCCCTGGACACAAACACAGACCATCTCCTGTGGAGGCTGACTCCTGCTGAGGCAGGAGCCCCTTAGTCACCTTTGGGTCCCAGTGTTTTGGTGATAGATGGGAACGAGAGTACACAGTCACAGAGTGGGGTCCTTTAGCCTCAGGACATGAGCTCTTCCAGGCTGAGCTTGACTGGGGGTGGAGGTGGGGAGTGCTGGGTATGGAAATTCTGAAAACAAGGTTGGGGACCATCAGGAAGCACACCATCTTCCTGAGGCCTCTGTGTTATTGGGGGCAGGGGCCCCAGACTTGCCTCTCACTCACCAGCCAGGGCCAGAGACTGGACACTCAATAAACCCGTTTCCTACTTTGAGCACTCGAAGCTTGTTTTTGGTGACAGTGGCTTGGCCTGCTGGCTGCCCAGTACAAAGACTTAGCAAATGCCTGGCCCAGTGGGCCTTGGCTTGCCTGGCTGGGGACTAGTTTCCACTTGGCTCCTCTGGACTTGTGTCATCTAGGCCAGTGGTCCCCAAACTTTTGCCACCGGGGTTCGGTTTTTTTATGAGAATCTGATGCCTGATGATCTGTGGTGGAGCTGACGTGGTGATGCTATCACTGGGAAGCGGCTGCAAATACAAATGACGGTTTGCTCACTGGCCCGCTGCCCACCTGCTGTGAGGCCCAGTTCCTAACAGGCCACAGACTTGTATCAATCTGCAGCCTTGGGTTTGGGGACCTTCTGACCTAGGCAGAGTGTTTTTCAACTTATTTTTAAAACCACAATCCCTTGTAAGAAACACCTTTTATATGGCAACCTACTTTACAGGTATGCAAAATGTGTGCAATAACCATAGTTAACTCTGCCATGTGCAGGTCACTGATACTTTCATCTACGATATTTTGTGTTAATTGCCGATCCCACCCTGTACCAAATTCTCCACCCAGGACCCTGCAGTTAGGAAAACACTTATAAGGTGAAGCGGTAGGAGTGTGGCCTCTGACATTTAGGTTCTCCCTCTGCAGTTGTGCTCTCATCAGGGCTGCCACAAGTTCCAGAGCATGGAGGCTCCTCCTGAAGGAGGAGGAAGGGCAGGCAGAGCTAAGCTGGAAGCAGAATAAACCCTGCCGCCTACACGTTTTGGGGCGCGCATCTGTTTTGTGCCAGGCATACTGCTGGGACCCCGTTCCTTCTAACCTCTTTTTGGGCTGAACAAAGCAGCTGTCTCTCCCCCGAGAGGGAGCGAGCCTCCCGCTGTCTGACCTCAAGCAATACTAACAGCGCCTGACGTTAACCCTGACTATGGTCAGGCACTAGGCTGGGCGTTTTTGCGTGTGTCATGTCACTGCATCCTCCCCACTTCACAGGTGAGTAAGCCGAGGCAGGAGAGAAGCAGCCAGGACTAGACTTACATCTGAACGTGCCAAAGCCAGCCCTTAAATCACTAACACGGGGGTGGAGGTGGCGGGTGCTTTCGGCTGTTTTCAGGAAGGGATAACTCGCTCCCTCAGGATTCTGGGAATCGTGGATCTCGCTGTGTTGATATGCCTGTGGGAGATGAAGGGACGGTTTCCGGGGTCCACTCGGGCCAGTTCCCAGGGAGTCGTTTAAAGCGGTTATCCCCGTGCTTTAACTTTCCTGGCTGTCTCCTACACTGCTCCTCCTCTATCTGCCCCACTGGGCGCGACGCCACCCACCCAGAGGATCTCCGGAGGACCTCCGGAGGCACCAGCTCTCCAGGAATTAGGAATTTCGTGACGTTCCCTGCCTGGGCCTCACGAAGGGCGGGGGAGTGCTGCAAGGGGCCATCGCGCAAGTGCGGCCCCGGCTTCCGCCGCACAAGGCAGACCTCGCTTGGGGCCCGGACTACCGGAGAAGGCGCGCCGACCATCGGACCGGGCGAGTGTCCCTGCCCGCCCCGCCGGCCGGTGGGTGGGCGCTTCCCTCTGCTCCCCGCGACACTTTGCAGACGCTCCCCGGCACCGGACATGGGCGCCGCCGCTGCGGCCGTCGGTCCCCGGGCCGGATTCCGCGCGCGGGTGGTGAGCGCGGGGCCCCGGCCCCTCTGACCCCCAGCACCTGCAGGCGGCGGCCGCCATCTATACCCGCGGCCTAGCTCATCTCCCGCTGGGACCCCTTGACACCATCACTCCTCCTCCCACCATCGGACAAAGGGCGGGGGCAGGGTGGGGGGGCAGCCCCACGCGTGACCTTTCCCTGCACTGCGCACGCGCCCAGCCCCCCCACCACGGGGAGGAGACATATTTACTCATGCGAGTGCGGGGGAAGGGCGTGAGGGTGCCCATGGGTGCAGGAGGCACCGCGCATGGGCCAGACCCTCACCTCATGCCTGGAAGTTGGGGCAGTCTCCCAACGCACCTCTCACTTTTGGCCCCGAGGTGACCTGTGACGAGGGTCCAGCCCATTCAGGACAGGATGTCTCTTGGTGGATCCTACGGGAGCCCAGCTTCTCCTTCCCTCGGTACATATGTAGGAGTGCAAGGGTTTGGACGCCCAGGTCTTCTCCCCCAGTCGTGAGGGTTCTGGGTCCCCCCCACTCCTCTCCATCAGATCCAGGAGTCCCGGCCTTCAGCACCTCCTCTCTCAGTCCTGGGGAGTTGGCCGCACCTCCCAGGGTGTCCCTTGGAGTCCATCTGTGTCCCTCCATCTGTGGCTGCTCTTTCTGTCCAGTGCCTCTGAGGCGGTCGGTTGCCTGGGCCCGCCGGAGGCTGCGCCATGAATGACCGAAACAGTCGGAGAAGGACACGTGAGGAAGCTGGGACCCTGCCCCACCCTTAGTCCCATGGCCACTCTGCCGATCCCTGCTCTTTCCTCCCTGGGGGTTCTGCTGCGGTTGGGTGCTGGTCCGTGGGGTTCAAGGATGTCCCCGGGCTGACCTTGCCTTTGCTCTCCTCTCCAGTGAAGAAGGATGATGAGGCCTTTGAGATCGCCATCCCCTTCGATGAGGCGCCCCACCTAGACCCCCAGCTCTTTTACCGTCTCAGCCCCACTCAGGGAAACTTTGAGGGTGAGCTGAGGCTTGCCAGGAGGGACTTGAGTCAGCTGGGGTGCAGGGCCTTTGGAGTCTGGGGTGTGACGAGGGTCCCCTGCTGTCCCTAGAGTCTCCGGAGGCTGCATCCCCGACAGTAGCCCTGATGAACGGCGTCAGGGCTCAGCTGCACATGGCCTTGGAGAGGAACTCCTGGCTGCAGAAGCGCATTGAGGACCTGGAAGAGGAAAGGGACTTCTTGAGGTGTCAGCTGGACAAATTCATATCCTCTGCGCGCATGGATGCAGGTGAGGGTGCCCCATGAGGTGGCCCCCTCTCTGACCCACTCCTGGGCCCTGGCACCCAGCTCTGGCCCTACTTGAGAACACAGGACCCTTCTTACCCACATATTCATCTTTTGGTGGCTTGGTGGGGACCTGGCCTCTTTACCCTCTGCTAGTCCCCTGGTATCCCCAGGACCTCAGG